AGCAGGAAAATCGTTGCCGAGCTTTGCTTCTTCTATGGCAGCCGAAGAGATGCCAAGAAACATATGTATGCTAGAATAACCACTTGTGTTGGTAGGACCTGGACTATTCGAGACAATACGCCATTCAACATTCCCGATCGCATAAAGGATATCTGGAGGCGGTACGTATGCGGGGGAGGAGGAGGTAGGAAGCCTTGGGGAGCCTGTCTGCTGTTGCGAAGAGATATTTTCTGCAGGTGTGAAGGGAATGTCGAATGCAGGGACATCATGAAAAGCGAAGTCACGGCATGCCACGTCCTCGGGGTTGTTGCGGTAAAGATAAGCATGAGCAAAAAGCTGACTCCAATACTGGGAGTTCTCCGACAACTTCTGGGAACAGGTTTCGTCGTAGCCGATATGTAAGTCCATTGCGATATGACTATCGATAAATGGTCAGGGAGGTGGTAGTAGTAGGAGAAGAGAAGAAAATGGTAAAAGAAGAGAGTGTTGATTACCCCTGCTGTCGCGACCGCCAGCTTAAGTACTCACTGCTCGTAAGCGCCGGTGCCTCTTTGTCCTGCTCGAGGACATGCAATCGGCTGAAACTTACTTGAATAAGTAATTCGGAAATGGAAATTTTTCATGATAAGCAAGTCTCAGCCACTCAAAATTTTTGGTACTTCCGTTGAGTAACCCTCAATGCGCTAGCCTATCATTGCGGGCGCGGCTAGTGCTAGCAATTAAAAGCCGTAGTGCTACTAATTTCGTGTTAGTACCTACCTTTGAACTGTTGTCGCAGGCTCGAGTGCATGATCAAGGATCGTTTCATCCCTACAAACTGCCTGGAATTTTTCTTTCAATATACAGTAGATACCTATTTGGTATGCTTAGGTCGTTCAGGATGAACCGAATACACGCCGTTGTTTCGTAGCAGCATGCTAAAGCCGTCACAAGACTCCCTTGTTTTACAAGTCCTTAGACGGCTTTTATTGCTGGCGCTTAGCCTAAGCGACAGACAACAATTAATGGGATCGTCAAAACCCGGGGTAGTCACTCCTAGATACTGAGAACAGGCAAAATCCCTCCCCAGGTAGGTGGTTGGGCCACTTACCGACCTCTCTACGCCTATGTGCTCACTTCCGTCATATTGTTGCCATTTGCCGCCGTGAAGATCCTGCCATATTAAGGTGTGGTGAGTGATATCAAAAACATACGAACTCTATCATCTCCGTTGCTTACTTAGCTAGGCAAGTCTTCACACAGAAGAAATACAAATGTTACACTCTACATTCTTGCCAGGATGAGCTTCTCTTATCCATGATTCCTGGACTAGACGAAGTGGCACTCTATATGCGTACTCCCTCCTCTTCCAGAATTTGGCACTGTGGATATAATTACTTCGTAACGCTTAGAGTAGTATAGATATGCGAGCTTCGCCGGTAGGCGCTCGCTTCTATTTCTCGAGCTTCGCTTTGCGCTTGATCTGAGGCAACGTTCCCAGAGAATCCGAGACACAGCCCTGCTAGCATACTACCTTTATTGACCCGACACATGTACAATTCCCTTCATATTTGTTATCATTTTCAGTTGGATTCCAAGCATGGTGGAAGGCAAAGACTGTGATTGTGAGGCAAGCGTCCAAGAGCGTGACACCCATGAACGTGGCCAAACTTCGCTATAGTTTTTGTACCGGTACAACTGTTGTAGACCTTTCATGGACCGTGCGCACATCTCATGGAGGAGTGAGCTTGGTGAGCGGGCTGCACCCTCCCTGGAGCGATGAATGGTGCAGTGGTTGATTGGGGATTCCATCTGTATTCTTGCAGCATCGTGACCTAGATGACAGGATTTTGTATACGAGTTTCCTGCATTTCTCAGACTTCCTGCAATTGTAGCTTCGAGTCAGGCATTCGTTCTAACAACAGCAAATGGTCTATGATCCAGCCAGAAAATATTAGTTTGGAACTAATCAATTTTGCAGAAAACATACGAGTTTGATTGCTCATTGCATTGTTATCATACCTTTCCCAGATTGGAAAATATCAACTGCCAGAGTCGAAGGCACTCGGATTAAATTTTGGTTTGAAATGTGTATCAAGACTTTTCTAGGCGCTCTGTGAATGATTCGATTGCTGATGGAGGCACACCACCCATGGACCGTGTGTGCTGTCCATGGATGGTACAAACTCCACGAATGGTCTACAACAGTACAAGAGGTCTAGGGCGTAGGGGCGGCTGAAGCTATACCATCACCTACAACATTAACCGCCCTAACTCAGCGTCAATATTGTACCGATGGCGGCTTTGTTACCACTGTCTCTTGAGGTAAGTTTGAACAGAAGTGTAAGGAACCGCGCGTATTCCAGCGCCTGTCCTAACTCCCCGACAGCTCTATACGCCGTGTGATCTCTATCCCTTGGTACTTAAATTAGAAAAGTAAAGTTATATTTATGTAAAGCGGGCACATTTTGTGGTATAAAGTAGGCCCATGGGACCTTCGTTAATACCTCAGAAACCAATCAACCTTCCAACTTTTGCAGATTCAATTACTCCTCTACAAGAATTCGAAACGCTCAAATTCTAAGAAAACCAAGCGGTCCTCGTGTAGGTTGCTGGCATCCTTTCTAAAGAGTTTCTTCTATACTTACACTGAGATTTAAGTATATCACGGAGCCTCGTTCTAGCACTGTTTGCGTGCACTAGACAAGATAATACTATAACGGCAATACGTGAGTGTCTTCATCTCAAGCCTGAACTCTCGAGCACTGGCATCTAACATGCTATGCCAGATTATTGTTGATCAATTCAAAATGTCCGCATCTTCTGGTCGTCAGGGATTCTGCAGGGCATGCCGTCACCACAACAATGAGCACACCTACCTAAGATGTGAAGCGCCAAGTTGCCGATACCAGTGGAAACGGTGTCAAGTCACGGATGGGTGTGAAGATAGACGCGGGTATAGGATCTGTAAAACCTGTCCTATCCATAATAGGTGGACGCCATCGGGCTGGGAAGAAAATCAGTACCACAACAACTACTATTGTTAGGATAGTGGTAGCGATCAGAGATAGTTACTTTTTGCTAGCTTTAGTTATGAAATAAAGTCCAAGATTTGTACTGCTGCCGGCAGCAGCTGCAGGTTGTATCAACATAGTTAAATCATATGCGTCCTCTTGATATCATAATTTCCATGTATTTTATATCTTGAGTGCTCCTTCCGCGCTTCGTATAGTGCAAGAATTTGGTCAATTACATATTTAAGGAGTTTCATTGACCCAATACCGCCCAGAAAATTCGTAGTTACGTCTGGGAAATGTGTATAAAATGTGTAATGAGCCTGACAAAAGCGTACAGGAAATGCGAAATATAAGTGGACAAACGGCGCATGATTCGAGATATATCGATTTTATGAATTTAATTTATATGATACCTATGACTTTTATGTCTCACAATTAGCCACAGGCATGTGTCTTCACAGCTGGCCAAGGAAGCTATAAACACGTACTGAATCACTATATTCCAAGACTAAATTTTGACATTCTAACGTATAACACTACTTCTTTTTCTTTCTATGATCTATAGATCGACTAATAACATACACTGGAATGAACTCCTCGGGCTCATATCCTTGAACCATCTAGACTGCACCAAATCCCGTGATATCTTGGGCATATTCTTTGTTAACGCTCACATTATTCTTTATCTTACACTTCAACCAGCTTGACCGAGTTCTTCATCGCGAGTGGTATCCAAAATGGAAATCCATCCATCCAGATTCAGAGCGCTCAGGAACCGCCTCGATGAGTGAAAAATTATTTCCTCTCCTCACCAAACCTCCATTCCCAACTCCAGAAGCATCCACCGCTGCCAGCAATGTCAGATAAAAGCACCCACTTCAGTCCCAAATCCCAAATCCCTCCTTCCTCAGCACTCACCACATCATCCCTATAAACTCTCACAATGTCATCCACACCTCCCGACACTTCCTCAATTTCAGAGGCCTTGCCTAGTACTGAACTAACCCCTATTATTCCTACCCCTATGGACATAGAGACAACCCCTCCTCCGGCTCCACCGAAACGAAAGCGCTCTATAAGCGAAGAGAATTCCCCCGCCGCGGGTCCCGCGGATGATAACGCTGCTAACGACGACGAGTCTGAGGAAAACAATGTAAGCCCCTCCACAACCCTTTCCACCTCACACAGGCAAATATTAAGTCAAACACAAACAGGAGCCACCAGACATGCCAACCCCTGCCGCTCCGAAAGGCGGGCGCCCCAAAAAGACCGCTACGCCTGCAAAGGGTGGTAAAAGGAAGTCCAATGCCTCGAGCGCGGATGAGCAAGAGCCCAACACTAAGAAGTGCCGTGTACTCCCCCCTCCATCTTCTGTCTATGAAAGCATTACTAAATTTAGGAAATAGGGACGTCCCAAAGAGTCTGCGCCATCCAAAGAGAAATCCAAGGGTGGCAAACCCGCCCCAAAGGAAGAAAAAGAGGGAAGCAAAGACTCTGGGGTAAAGACGGTTGGACAATCCACAGCCATGACAAAAGCCGAGTCTGAATACATCCTCAGCTCGTTCATCGACGACACAAACTGGAAGGAGTTAGTGACTGAAACGAATGAGAAGTTTGGCCAGAGCAGATACCCATCGAATGTTAAGAAGCATTGGAACGATATGGTAAAGAAGACTTTGATGGCATTATATAAGAACTAGATAGTCGACGTCTAGTGAAGGATGAAGGGTGGGGATATATTGTTATGTACTTAAAGGAACACTATTTTTTTATAGTCGTATATTATTAGATATGAAGTATAGTTATGGAATGGGGGCTTGAATTCTACACATTTGTATGTTTTATCACTAATCTTTTTGCTACGTATTTTAATTGTTGTCATAAATCCAGAAGTGAGATGAATTGGAGAATAGTAGTGCCATGGAAATGGAACGACGATTACCTCGATTCTTCGAATAATTTGCATGAATCAATTGCGATAATTTTGTTTACCTCATATCAATCGGCCGCGTGGCCCAATGGCAAGGCGCTTGACTACGATTAAAAAATTGGAATCAAGAGATTGCAGGTTCGATCCCTGCCGCGGTCAGTCGATTCTTTTGCAGCTTTTGCGGCCTCCAACCTTTGCTCATGAAGAGCAATAATTTGTCGGGATAGACCAGATGAGAAAACTACTATCATGGGGTAGGAGAGGAGGATGCTATGACGACGTCAGAACCAAGTTAAAGACCCTGGTTTAAACCCAACTTTCGGTACATCTCTCGGGAAGTCACAATGTAAGCTGGATAGAAGATAATTCCATATAGATCATGTGAACTAGCAGCAGCGCATGCAAATCTAAGATATACTCTTCCCCAACCAGTCTAAAAACTAACACACGGTCCGACCACAAAAGAAAACCGAACAAAAAATGAAACTTTTCTCTATTCCCATGCCATGAGTCCCATCCAATTAATCCATTGCCCACAGCCGCCCATACGTATACCCGCTTCGCCAACAATATGCTTTCATTATCATTAACTACGTCCAAAACTGTATTTACTCGGCCTCGTCATCCGTATCGACTGGCTTTGGGGTTCTACATGGTTCAATTAGTACCTGGGCAACAAGGTTGAGTTGGATGAAAACGTACCCTTTAGGACTGTTCAACCACTCAATATGTCTCAGCCTGCGTCTAACCTCTCTTTCCTTCTGCTGAGCCCTCGTCATCTTCTTCTTCTTCGGGAACTTGCGTCCCTTGAACTTCATACTATCGCCGCCGTCTTCGGCGTCAGAGTTAACAGCGCTGCTCGCGGCCGACGCAGCAGCACTAGTAACCGCACTAGCCACGGCGCTGCTAAGTGCAGGAGTGTTTGTTCCACTAGCAGAAAGACCCTCAAACCTGGAGGTGTCGGCGTCTTTCTTTGTTGCAGCGGTAACTCGGCCCGCCTCGACGATCCATTGCTCATTGCAGAGGGCAGAGACGAACTCTTCGTGATGGGAGATAACGATGACACCACCCTTAAAGTCGCGGATCGCGTGGGAGAGACCGCCAAGAGATTCGCGGTCCAAGTAGTTGGTAGGCTCGTCAAGGACGAGGAGATGGGGGTTGTTCCACATAGCTCCAGCAATGACAATCTTGACCTTCTGTCCTCCGGACATACCACCAATCTCGTTGTGCTCTGCTAAGTCGGCATCGAGTCCCACATCCTCAAAGTGTTTCCTGATATCGGCTGCCTCTAGCTTTCGGAAACCGAGACCTTCCCGGGAAGCCTCATGGTCATCAAATTCCTGAATAAGCTTGAAGAAACCAAGTTTCATAAGAGTCTCACGGGAGATCATGACGTTGCTCTTCGGGCCCAACCCGACCCACGAGACCTCATACTGGAATGACTTCTTGTACTTCTGACGGCCGACGATGTTGTTGATTCTACGGGGTCCGCTACCGTCACCAAGGTCGACAGGGGTGGCCATCTGCGCCTCTTCCTCGGGGGTGAGTTTACGGGTGGCTTTCATCAATACTTCTCGGTCGTCACCGTGAGCATAACGCCACTGGAGGTACTGGCTAGGAGTTTTGTCCAGGTGGAACTGAAGGGGCTCCAAGGAGTGCTGTGAGAGGTATCCAACACGCAAGTTGGGATGTTTCTCCACCCTTCCTTCCTGGGGAATGACTTCTCCGGTAAGCACCTTGATGAGGGTCGATTTTCCGGCTCCGTTAGCTCCAAGGAGGGCGACTCGCGATGACAGAGATAGAGAGCAGGTGACATTGTAAAGCGAAGGCTTAGCAGCTCCGGGGTATGTAAAGGTTGCATTCGTCATCTTTAATATAGAACGAGTTCGAGAAGAAACACCACTCAAGATTCCAGGAGGCGGAAACTTGAACTGGACCGTAGAGGAAGAGAGGGTATAGTATGCCTTTCCTTCAGGGCGTACTCTCACGAAACTATCCCGATATTAGAATCATATTGCTGGAGGGGAATCAGAAACAGAATACATACTCAGCGAGGTTACCCTTATAATAGACAAGCTTCTTGTTCTCGTAATGAATGATATCCGTGCAAACCTCGTCCAAAAATCCAGAATCGTGAGAGACAATCAAACTGGTGATTTCAGTATGCTTCTTAAGGTAATCTTGAAGCCATTTGACATTTCCAACATCCAAGTGATTGGTAGGTTCGTCCAGCAGCAAGACCTCGGCCTTCTTCAACATGGCCTCGGCAAGAGCCAATTTCATCTTCCATCCTCCGGAGAGTTCTCCAACCTTAAAATCGACACGCTCGCCCTCGAATCCAACGTTGCGAAGCACCACCTTGATCTTTTCGGTTCCGTCATCACCCATAAAACCTTCCTGGAGGTTATCTTCAACCAAAGATTGCCTGATGTACTCAACAATGGGCAGTTCGTTCTCGACACCCTGAGATCTGTGCTCGACGAAGCAGGTCCGAAGTTCGTCCTTTGATGGGAAACCCTCAAGTTTGCCCTCAGAAATGGAGCGCATGAGGGTAGACTTTCCGGCACCATTGCGACCACAAAGGCCGTATCTGTGCCCACGATGCAAACGTAGGTTGGTGTGGTTGAGCAACATCATACCACCATACGCCAGCGAGAAGTTGGCATTCACAATCTCAACTTCGTTCGCATACTCGCTATCGATGATGCCGGCATTGCCGAATCTAGCGTGATCTGTCGTACGTGCCCACCTCTCGACATCGGCAGTAATGTTCTTTGCCCCCTCCTCCCCAGAAGTCACAATATCTCTCAGATAGGGGGCGATACAGTCGGCTAGTCGTGACCACTCACGAATAACAATGACTTCCCTAGCCATGGCGGCGATGTATGGCTTCACCTTGTTCTCCCATGTAGCAACTTCTTCCTTGCGGATGAGAAGGGCGGCACGAAGCGAAAGTTCTCCATCCACCTCGTCGACAGAAATGCGCTCACCGATCGTATTGGCCTCGTCACCGCTGGTAACGCGCATTGCCTTGACCATAACATCGTTCGCGCTCTTGGCCAATTCGCGGACAGCAGGAATAGAAGCGGTCTCAAGAACACGCTTGACACCGGGCTGCAGTCGGGGCAAAAACTCGCGGGCCTCAACAGGGTCGTGGACGAGCTTGGTAAGGTTTTCCGTAACGACAACTGCCTGCCGCAAAACTTCCTGGGAGGTTTGAGGAGAGGTGAGAGCGCGCTCAAGGAGAGGCGTAAGGAGGGAGAGCACTGGAGAGGTAACGGTCTGCACAAAAGTTGTCTGACTTTAAAACAAGTCAGTACAGGTTACAAGAAAATGCTGCAAAAAAGGACATACCTAAGAGCATGAATTGCCTTGGCCTGGGTCTCCCTGCTAGGCATATTCATGGTCTTGATCAGTGTAGGAATATGCCTCGCTACGTCGTCATTGCTCAGCAGCTTGGTCAAGCTGGTAGTTGTCTTGACGGCCGTCTTGGAAACCTATGCCAGTTATCTGTTAGAACTCCAACTGGAATATAGGTTGCGGTTGGCACGAACCTCAGCCTTCAAATCATGCATTCCGCTCTCGACAACAGGGATCAATCCCTCAAGCTCCCGGCCCATAACGTCCTTCAAGAAAACATCGCCCTGATCCTTCTCCGCCTTGGCCGCCTTCTCCGCCATCTTGCCAATAAGCGCCAGAGCGGCAACTTTACCTTGCCACTTAGATCCTGGCGATTGTAGGTAACGTTCGGTCGCTGACAACAAACCAGAAACAAGTGCGGGTAACTTGAGGTTGGCAAATAAGGCATCCACGGCATACTGAGCGCTTTCCCGAACTACAGCACCCTTATCGGCGAGGCCATCAAAAACGTTGCCAATAGTCTCCACCAGTAGTACTTCGGTTGTAGGCGCCTTCTTTGGGAGGGTCTCGTAGAGTGCACCGTACAATATCATAGCGCTTTCCCGATTGGCTCCGGACTTCTTATCGGCGGCAGCTTTAGCAATCTTTGGGAGCAGGTCGGCGAGAACATGATGGGCAGTCGGGGGATCTGCGGCGATGCCGTTGGCGAGAGTTAATGAGGCATCAAGAGATTCTTGGGAAGTTTTGGCCGTAAGTATGGTGGTGAAGATGGCTTCGTAATCGAAGGCGGGTGCGCCGTTCGCGAGGGTTAAAGTAACGGTGGGAGTGGGGTTTTCGACGACTCCTGGAGACATTATTGCTTCGATATAAAAGAATCTAAATAAAATAAAAACTGGTGCGAATGCGGCTGAAGTAAAAGAAAAAATCTAAAGGCGTCAAAAAGGTGAAGAAACCGAAAAGTCGTTAAAATCTATAGTAGCACTGAGTGGAGAGGTGTCGAAAACCGACGGCGAACTTCGTTCGTTCGCGAAGAGAAGCGTGAGGTGGTGAGGAAGGTGAGAGGAGAGGTGTCGTGTCGAGAGAAAGGGAGAGAGGGAGAAATTGTTTAGTTGGTGGCTCCTTGCTTACTATATGATGGGGCTCAGCTCAGCACTGCTCGGAATTTTCGAATCATGCATTTACTAAGCAACACGTGAAAGGCGCTGATATACCTACTTCTCCCTCCAACATTGGACGCAGTTCTAGCCGCCAGAGGAAGTTGAGCAAACCAATCCTGGAATTTCAATAACCTCTGCCTTGGAAGACGCAGACTTGTAACCTTCAATAACCCCTCTATGGTATGGCTCATGGCCTTCGGCTCGAGTGACGAATCATGAAGTCGACTCTGACCATGGATAATCGGTTGGCCAGCTAGCTTTCATGGACAAACGGAAGAGCAGGCTTCGCCTTATCAGCGTCCAGGGTTCCATCAATAGAAGCTTTAATCCCGACCCATCAAAGTTTCGGCTGCAACCTAAGTTCTCTCTCACCCATCGGCGTTCAAGATCGAGTCCGAGCCTCGCCAATCAAGGGATTCATTGATTATAATTTTTGAACCTACAGTCAGTCCCGGGATGTTGTTCTGGGCGCTTCAGATATACCATTGCTAAACAAGATCGACGATCGACCGGATATCGGGTAGTTCCTAAAGACTTTAATATCTGCGTTATGGGGGCTCTGAGTATCGGAAAGGCCATTGGGACAACAGATTAAGGGGTTGTTGGTCTCCCTGTTGTGATTGGCCGAGGAATATCTTTGTT